AGCCGGGGCGAGCCCTCCCTGCCGGGAGAGGCAGCCCTGCGGCACGCAGCGCCATGGTCTCATGGATCATCTCCAGGCTAGTGGTGTGAGTAGCTGCTGGTCGGCACCCGCACGCGTGTTTCTGCGTGTCCCGTGGCCGCTGTCAGCCCCGCTCGCCCCGGCGGTCAATAACGCGGTGGTGGCGACTCGGCTAAATTTAGCAGGTTGCTGTTAGGGATGGGGCGCTCGGCTGCTGGATGGGTGAGGGAGAAAATAGCTGGGTGAAACGGTATTTTCCAGCGTGGGAAAATGACTGAGGGGTGGAGGGCGAAATGCTGCCGTGCCGTAGAGCGCAAGGTGACAGCGGAGAAGGAGGGCGGATGGCATCGCCCGCTGCTCGGCGAGGAACGGGCCGGGGGTCAGGAGATGGGGATCGAGCATCAGCGGGTGGGAAAATGGACGAGGATTTGGGCAGCGGTGCTTTGTTAGCGGGGCTCGGTGCGGCTGGATGGAACTCGCGAGGGGGCGTGGGAGAGGCGGCCGCGGGGTCTCCTGGCCGCTACCGCTGCTTTCTTCGCTCTTTTTTTTTTTTTTTTTTTTTTTTTTTTTTTTTTTTTTTTTTTTTTGGTAAAAGAAATATCAGATATTTCTTTTCTCTTTGTAACTTGCCGCCCACCCTCTCAAAAGACGTTCTTTATTTCCCTTTAACCTGTCAGTCTGGGGGGAGAAGCGTGTGGCTCTTTGCACTTGTCCTACAGCTTTTCCATGGCTGGAAGTGCTGTAGGTGGGAATACATACAGAAATTCCCTGGCAATTCTTCCCAGGCAACAGGGAGAAAATGGAGCAACCTCGAGGTATATGGTCACCTGCCCCACCCGAGAAGAGATTCAGTGAGAAAAGAGCATTCTTGATGCCACTAGGAAAATTCCAGGAGGGGCAGTTTAGGCTTTAGGTGGGGCAGCAGGATGGCTGATCAGTATCCCATCTGAAAATGTGGCTGGTCAAGGTTAGTACAGTGAATCAGGTGAATCATTTGCTAGTTTTTGCAGCCTGGTACATATAGCTGCAGACTCCGAACATCTGTTGTGCTCTTAAGTTATTGTAGAGGGTCTGCAAGGGCCTGTCACTTTCTTTGTCTGAAAGAAACGTGCCATGATGTTGCACCATCAGCATAGTTCCAGAAAGGCATTTTCGAGGTCTTCTCTTTTGCTATATGGGATGAAACAACAAAAGGAAAACTCACCTTGATCTTAGCTATCTCTGTATGACTAAGCCATGGGGTGCCTGTCAGATACGAAGATTTTGGGGGGTTCCAGAGTTGAATTTTGCCCTAGGAGGTATATGATCTTTAGCTGCAGCTGTTGTTAGCCACTATTGGGATGGTACTTCATCCTGGGAAAGCATATTAAATATTTAATAATTTATTTGGAATAGTATAACTGTGCAGCTATCTCTGACAGCAATGTGAGATGTAGCATGTATTGTCCAAGGCAGCTTTTCTTTCTTCTCTACTGGGCTAATTTCCACTTTGAAAAAAACTGTCATCACATAACCCAGCTAATCCTCCAGAACAAAGAATGTCTACAGAGAGATGGTAGTTTAACTTACTTGCCTCGGCACATGCACATATACATGGGTGATTTCATCTAAGACACATGGGCTGGGTGAGAATGTGATAGGGGCAGGGCATAGAGCGCTTGACATCTGCAATCAGGTAATTAGCTGAACATACAAGCCTTCCTGTTTTTTTCATCTTTATTCATCTGAGTAGCATGTCACAGTAGGAAATCTGCTGTGTAGAGAGCAGTACCAATTATTTGTTATACTAGAATTTCAATAGCAAATAACAATTTGAATATGCAGTGTAAATATTAATCATTTAGTAATCACAGTAATAATTAAAAAAATTCTGCAAGGAAACATAGGGCAAGCCAAGCTTGATCACCACTTTCTTTGCACTGCTATTTAGTATACATCCATCCTTAAAGAATGTTTTGCACCAGGAAGTGCTGGGTTGTTATGATCCTAGCAAGAAACTTGGACTCTGTAGAGAATTGCTTAAAATACCATTTGCTAGAGCTAACATTATAAAGAAAAAAGAGGACAGTATAAATAACCTTATGTCCCTCCAGATGCTGGAAACTCCAAGCTGCCTAGCATGGAACAGGCCTTCAGTCTGGGCACAGCACAGCATGCAGATCTGTCTGTGGAAAGGTTACCTTGCATTTTGGTCTTTTGAGCCCTTACATTATTTAAAAAAAAAAAAAAAAAAGAAAAAGGCAATTTATTCATCATTTCTGCTGTCAAACAAAAAGGGTATTCACCAGAGAACTTGTTGCTGCACTTTTAGATGAAGACAAATAAGGACAGGCAGGTGGTTTAATTGCTGGTGACCACTGTGAGCTTCCTACAGGCTCCTTCATTACAGTTAACCAGCTGAGCTGATCCTGTATCTGAGGGGTACATGCAGGGCAATGCGGGCCAGAAGGCTGAGCACAGACCTGCACCCGCTCAGGTTAGCTGTTAGGTGGATCACTGACTCCTTGGTGTGCAGTGGTCTTCAGATGAGGATCATGACAAAGATTTAATCTATCTAATCTGGTTTCCCATCTCATTATGAATCACTAGTTGATCCGTCAGCACATATAGCTGTGCTCTAAGTAGACTGGCCACCTGGTTGGGCTTTTTTTTCCCCTGCTCATGCCTATTTCATTGTTTTTTCATCAAATCTTACGATCTGATAAGGATTATGAGAAAAGTGGTGTGGTGTGGTTCAGTCACACTGTGAATATTGCTTTGTGCTCTACAACTTCTGCTGATCTCAATGGGTATTATGTCTGATATGACTCAGCTAACAGAAAGGGCTTTAAAACAAAAAGCAAACCTTTGCTTTGGCTCTTGGGTGCTTTGTTGTTTCCATTATCCCTGATTTGGTTGTCACTGTCTCTGTCCTGGTAATTTCTATTTCCAAAATACTGCTGAGGAAGAGTGTGAGCACTTCTCACTCACTTGAGTATGAAGTCAGGCAGTTTACTGCAAACCATCTTCTACATAATTTCAACTTTAGTGTTTGGACTTTGTGTTAACACTGGTCCAGAGTGCTGGCTTGTTCTGTTCTACCTACAAAGGTGTGTGCTGGTAACCTTCAGGAGAGAAATGATAGAAACTTCAGTGCAGCATCTCCTACTGCCATAGCTGTGTGTTAAAGCCGAAGATTTTATTATTGTCAGGATCTGTACTCAATACTGCACAAATGTGAAACAAAAGATAATCCTGTCCCTGGATATCTTTTTTCTTTAAGAGCTCAATTCTTATCTGGCTGAAGTCCAGTAGTTTCTTCATTTACCTCAACAAGAACAAAATCAGGATGTTCTTTTTCTCATGGTGGGAGATTACAGGTGACTTTTCCACCAAGGGGTGTCTGGGATCACTGTGATTGCAATTGTTGCATCTTGGAGTTATTTGTGGCTTTATCTCTCACAATAACTGGAATGGGATTGTATCGTTATTCGTGGGTTAATTATGACCCCTTTTTTATTCATTCATCCATGAATACAGCTGAAAGGACAGTGTGGAACACCTGTATTTCAGTTTCCTCATCAGTGAAGTGTAATGAACTGTGCTGAATTTATCTTCCCTGAGACAGAGCAGAAGGGATCAGTGGCATGTCCTACCCTCTACAGTTTATTGCTATTCATTTTGAAGGAGATTCTTTTTTTCTTCAAGTGGTAGAGGCCACTCTAGCAGAAAGACTTGGGATCTGTCTTTGTTATTGAAGTCCAGTTCGGCTACAGTGCACAGTACTGCCAATACTAGGTGGTTACTGGCCTGCAATACCTTTTGGCTGTTGTCTAAAACCATTTTGAAGTTAAAAGTGGTATATATGAATGCAGCCTATTGTATTTGTGTGGAAATCCTATTCTTTTCCCAACAACATTGGAACTTGCTTTTTGTGCTTGGGATCAGAACAGAACCACAGGTTTTGGCTCCAATTCTGAAAGTCAGGCACATCACACCTCCTGTTGAAAGCCTTTCAGTCTGGAACTTGTGGCAGAGAAAGGAGATGTCAGTAGAAATGAGGCTGGATCAGACAGGTCATCAATAGTTGAGATGATACTGTGTGTCTTAGGCATTTGAATTTTTGCTGTGAGGAGCTTAGAAGCGCATTGCAAATTATTATGAAATTATTAAATATGATCTTCTTGGTAAAAACGCACAGCGTTAATTATGCTTGCTTTTTTTTTTTTTCCCCCCCTGCATTTGTTTCCTTTAAAATCAAAATATCAGTAATGATCTGTCTGATCTTTATGGTTTGATGTGAAGTAGGGTGGCAGTCTCAAGTATGTTCCTTGGTAATTCCTGGCCCTGTGTGGAAGTAGAAGGGATTTGGGGATTTATCAGAAGCATCCTTTCTTCGTCTGTCACTGAAAGTAAGTAGGTCTAAACAAAACCAAAAAAGGAACCAAAGAATTCTTTAAACTGACGAGTGAAATTTCCTTCCTTGTCACAATTTCTCTGCTTTCTCTTTCTTGGTTTCTGTGATGCCATTTTAGCAAGGGTAGGTGAGATCGGCCACCCCCATCCTCAGCTGGTATAAATCCATAGTGCTACTGAGTCAGACATGGATTTAATCAAGAGACGCTGCTTACATCAGTAATGAATTTTCATTTTAGAGAAACTTAGCAGATCCTTCCTCCTCTTGTTTTTCATGTATATGGAAGCCTGAAGAGATTTATGAATGAAAAAACGAAAGAAGTAATTTAATAAAGATTACATTAGAAAAGGATAACTGGTATCTTCTTTACCAGAGACAGGCGGAGACAGGATCAGCTCAAGTGTGTGAGAGCTGTTCTCATGAAGGCATGGCACAGCCCTGTGCTTTTGGTTATTGATGTGTCAGCATTAGCCTCTAACTTGATATATGCCACATACGTGAAGGTCCTTCCTCACAGTCTACATTATTTACTTGGTGCTGGCAGTTGACATGAAGGATTCTGGTATTTATTGCTCTGTATGGGCCTCAACACCAGTGATGCGAAATTATATGAAAATACAGCAGTGGACCTAGTGTGGCTTGACCTCTCTGCTGAGGCTGTGGGATGAGTT